ATTGGCCGGCTCAAATCTTTCTGTAAATATGTAAATACCTAATCTTTTATTTTCTTCTCTTTACGCCTCAAATCAGGTATTTCTTTCTTAATTATGTCTATCAGCACAATTAAAGCTCTATTCATGATGGAATTGTGGAAAACTCTTAAAATTACAAAATATTTCGTCACAATGAGTTTCTTTTTATTTTAAATTGCTAGCTTTCAAGCGATAATCGCTCTTAAACGGGTTTACTAAAAACATCGACTATATCTTACAATAAATATTTACAAATACAAACGTGCGCAGCGTGGATATTTACAACTGAAAAGCATAAACAAGAAGATAGATTTACCATCACAAAACCGATATCTTAGAAGAAATCAATAGATCAAGTTTATAGGTTCTGGTTGTCCTAAAATTGAAATTAGAAACATCCAATAACATTGTTGAATTACATATCAATTTTAAAATATCAGTTGTAAATATCCACGCTGCGCGCGTTTGTATTTGTAAATATTACTTGTTAGATATAGTCGATATTTTTTAAGCCCGTTGGTGAGCGATTATCGCTTGAAAGTTAGCAATTAAAAAAAAAAAAACTCATTGTGAGGAAATATTTTGTAATTAAAAAAAAAATTAAAGCTAATTCTGATCTAAACAATTTTTATTAAATTGTCCACGACTGCAATATCACAAGCATACTTTTGAATCCTCGAAACAAGAAAATAATTTCATTTTTAATCTCAAATTTTAAGAACATATATGTTATAAAAATAGAAGATATGATTTTCTGCTGTTTTTTATTTTTATTTATATAGAATTATTAGCTGTTGCTTGATTTTGGTATGCAGTCGTGGAAAAGATTATAATAAAATGAATATTGAATCAAAATTTGCTTTAATTGCGCTAAATGAATATATAACAACATAATTTGATAAAGGTATGCCCGACTTAAGGGGTAAGAATTAAAAAATAAAAAACTTATTTACATAATGTACAAAAGGTTTGAGCCGGCCATCGGGAAACAACAACAATGAGTTTTTATAGGGGAAGTGTGACCTCTGGCGGTCGATTTAGCAGAGTATTTGAATCTATGAAATATAATTTTAAATAAAATAATATTTCATTATAACACATATATATAAACCCAAAATATAGAAACTTAAAAACATTTACTACAACATATCTTAACCCAGCAAACAAGTCTAAAAGGGTAAAGCACGAAAAGCTAATACTTCCGCATCCACCAAAGTTACAATAAATAAACAAAGATTCTAAACAAACCATCAAACTTAGAAAGGAAAATTTCTACAGACGGATAGAATAACCAGTCAGACGATCCGTGTTCCCGACGCCATATTTAATGTCACCGTGTTGTCAAACGTTCCTTGTAATTTACTCCTTTTTGTTGGCATCACGTTTCTTGCATACCTGACGCCTTCTTCGACAACTCTCTCCTCGGCGATTCTTCCAACCTCTCTTTTTACATCAGATCTGTTATTTTGTTCTCTTCTATTATAAATGGCAAGGTTTTTCAATAGTTTATGTATTTTCAGATTATATAGATTCTGCTTAAATATATATAACTTAAAAAAAAAAAACATTTCCTTATCGGGAAATCAGTTGCCTATAAGGAAATGCCTTTTTTTTTAATTTTATCAACCTTATCCCAGTGAATTGTCAAATTTGTACTATTTTTTTTCATATATAACTTTGTTGTGCTGATTTAGTTTTAATATCTTGTATTAAGGTTTACAAATATTCCATTTTTTTACCGTAAGACAAATATGATTTTATCATATACTTCACTTACACAATAATCATTTATATTTCAGAACTTTCATATATTTATTCACACAACACACACACGAAACAAAAAACAATTACCAAATTGAGAAGAACTCATAATTAAAACACAATGGTTTTGCGACACTACATTTAATTTTCAAACAATAGAAATCAAATTTTATGATATTATTTGAAAGATGTAGTGTAAATAAAGGTAAAATATATATTAATAAGTTACAAATTCGTTTGTTTGAAAAAAAAATTTCCCGAATATATAATAAAAGCTTTAGATGAGAGTTGAATCAGTTTATTCCTTACCTGTTCGATAGAGAAAGCTAAATATCACATTAATAAGAACCGTCTGACACTAGAGTTAATTATGAAAATAACAAAATTCGGGGATATACTTGGAAAAGATTTATTGATATTAGAAAATATAACTAAAGGAAAGTTGCTCTAATATAATACAGGATATATTCTTCCCATTAAATGAACCCAGACTAATTTGATAAATAGGCTTATTTTTCATTGAAATGATCTTTTTAACCATAAATTTATACTTTTGATAAAGTTTGGCGAAATATCCAAAGGAAATAGTGTTAAATAAAACAACTTTTACGATTCAAATATATGCCTCCTTTTGCCTGAATTTAACTATAGAGAGATCCCCAAATGTAAAAACTAGTACTGAAAAAAAAACAAACAGAATTACTATTTAATATTTTAATTGTACCTTCTGATCATAGAAGAGGGTCTTCTCTATAAAAATCTCCCCATGTTTAAACAAAAGGTGAAAACTTTCTGAAAAGAGATACCTATTTAGCAAATAATAGCTCCGCATTTAAAAATAATGGTCACTACTTCCCCATTATTATTGAAAGGTTATGAAAAAGCTACAAAAAATCCTTTAAAAAAAAAGATGTCTTTCATAACATCCGTTCGTTTCAAATTAGGCATCCCTCTGCAATCGGATCCCAAGTCATGACTATTAAATTTCAATTAAAACAAGAATGAGACAATATCGCTTTGTTCGATTTATTTATGACATCCTCTTATATGAGGCCATGACAGGAAATGTAACTTCTCTATAAATATGATGAATATTTCATCGTTAATTAAAAAAATAAGAATATCAGAGTGTATAATATTTGTTGTTGGAAACAATTATTTGTTGCAAATATTATATTCACAGAATAATTCTAGGGGAGCTCCATTATTCAAAAAGGAATAACACTCTTAGTTAATTGGTCTACTTAGTCTAGCCGTTATAATTGTTACAAAACCAAATCAGTGATAAAAATTTTAATTTGACCGCGTGAAGTATTCAAAATACAGTAGTTGTTATTTGAATATCTCGTGCACACGTGTTTAGAAAAAAAAACGGAATATATTAGTTTTTTGATAATGGATTGGGGTGTTAAAGAAAACCGTATAGCTACAATAACCTTACACAAGGTAGGCCAAAGTCCTTCATCCATTTTTAAACTTCTACAAAATTTGAATATTACGCGTCAATTTGTTTATCGAACCATTGAAAGGTTCAACAAGGTTGGCACTATTAATGACTTTGAAAGATCTGGTCGACCGCGCATGCAACAAACGCAAGCAGCTATAATAGCCATTCGCGAAAGAATTCGTCGAAATCCACGCCGCAAGCGAAAGATCTTAGCAAAGCAGACGAATTTAGCTCCAAGAACCATTTCCAGGATAATCAACGAAGACCTTGGACTGAGAGCTTTCAAACGACGCACAGGACATTTCATAACCCCTGCTCTTAGAGATATTAGAAGGGTTAGATCGAAAATGTTGTTGGCGCGGCATGATAGTCGGTGGCATAAGAGAATCCTTTTCACAGACGAAAAAATTTCACTGTCGAGGAAAAGATTAATCGTCAGAATGATAGGATATATGCTCGTAGCTCTCTAGAAGTTTCTTTGAAAGTCAGAAAACTTTAAAAAAAGTCACCATCCTTCTTTTGTCAAGATTTGGTGGGAAGTTAGCTACCAAGGTGTAACAGATCTCCACTTCTGTGCCAAAGGGGTAAAACCTACAGCTAAAAAAATATCAAGAAGATATTTTGGAACAAATAGTAAAGCCCCTGAATACAAAAATGATTAATGGAGAACATTGGATATTTCAACAAGATTCAGCTCTTGCTCACAAAGCTAAGTTAACACAACAATGGGTGGAGACGAATGTTCCGGAGTTCATAAAGGTCAATGAATGGCCCTCTGGAAGCCCTGATTTAAACCCCCTTGATTACAGTTTGTGGGCATATTTAAAGGATAAGGTGTGCTCTAAAAGATAAGTCCTCATAAGTCCACGACTCACAATTCTGATAATCTCAGAGCGGCCGCGATGATAGACCAATATATATTTTATACACCTCTAGATATTCCCATGTTTTTAGAGCTATCTATTATGAGCTATTCAGAGTGAATTATGTGTGTTACTTCCTTTTATTTATGGGGGTCGGTAGAAGGATGGTCTAAACCGTCTAAGGACCGCTACGACCCGGGTTAGGTTCCCGCTTTAGGCGCTTTTTTCTGATTAAAAAATATTTCCCAAATGGCCTCCGATTCTTGCAAAAGTCCAACCCCACCAGCGAGTGCAAGTCATCAAACGGGGCTCTGGCATATTTGTAAGTGCAAATTCGAACTGCTTTTCACATGTGTAGACATGCGGTGCACTTACAGTAAAAGCAGTCGCCTACTTCTACCCACCATGATTATCATGGCCTGTACCACGTGTACTAGGGATAGGCAAAAAAACCTTCCTTTTATATTAAAAAATAATACACCTAGTAATCTCTCTATTAACAAGTATTATTTTTTAAAATAGAGCAATCCATTAATAGATCTTTAATTCGAAAGGCATATATAGGATCCAAATATAATTTATTTACCATTATTTCAGTTAGCTGAACGCCAACCTTTTTCAAGGTATTATAACATATTGCTCTATTTTCAAAACGATATGGTTTACACATATTAATATTTATAAATGACTGCGGCGTATAATTATAAAGCTATACAACCAGTTTAACCGCATAAGTTTCTTTTTATTTATGAAAAATCATTTTTAATTTCAAAGAGAAATAATTTAATATTTCTAACTTTTGGATGACGTATGAAAAGGTTGAATATATGAAGAGTGATGGTCTATATATGAATGGATGACGTATGGAGGGTGAAAAATATGAAGAGTAATGGCGAACGGAAAAATAAAAGTGTCCAGGAGCGGGAATCGAACCCACAACCTTCTGCTTACCGGGCAGGTGCCATGTCCACCAGACAGGTTTAACTGTACTTGTATTTATAAAGGAATTTAGAGAGAGAAGAGAAAGTGATTTATTTCTTTATCTAATTTTTGGTCACTATAAACCTAAATAGCTGAAACTTTCTTTCATTATGAATTTAAAGATGATGTTCTCTTTATGATTCAACATTTAGATAATCAATCTAATTGTTATTTACCTGTACGGTAAACTCCGTCTAGGTTTCTTAATGGATCTCGACGGCCGAGTGAATATAGGACGATCAGTGCATAACTAAACTTGAATTTTAAAATTCCTTTTTTTTTTCGAAGTTATGGATTATAATAAAGGTATGAAATATTTAAAATAGAGGTAGCCTTACCAAAACACTCATCACCCTGAGGTATCCCTCCAATACCAAACATGAGCGTGATTTAATATATTTTAAATGCATCTGTACAACTTGATTCTGTAGTTTTAGTGGAAATAAAAGGTTGGTAATTAATGCATTCTACTAGTAAATATGTTGATTGATGTCTCGAGATATCGTTCAACCAGCACACACACATATTGTGTTTCACACACAAATAATGTAATATATTTCTCTCAATATCATAAGTATATTTGAAATATGTATAAATGATAATTTGTATAAAAATAGTATTTATCATTAATTTATTTATTACCAGTTGCAAATAAGACACGCTATATCCAATCTGGATAATTGCGCGTGTAACTATTTACCATAATTCATATTGTAGTAGAGTAGGTAACAGAATTGTCAAAAATAAACAATTAAGAAAAAAGAGGTTTGAATACATATATAAATTGAACAAATAAGTAACAACATAAGCAGATAGAAGAAATCGGAATGTAGTTATTTACAGTATGTTGAGCAATGATGGAAGTTGATTTAATGACGTCATCTGTAATAATTAGTATAGTGGAGAGAGAAAGTTGATCAAATTGAGCTATTTACAATGAGTTATATTCTAAAGTGACTTATCCTTAAATTGTTAATGTTATACTCCTGATAGAAGACTGATAAGTCCGAAAGTTTGAAAATAAAATATTTGCACAAGAAACTCAGCCCTGGATACATTATTTACTTTATTATATTTTAATTTTAAAAAAATGAACCACTACATACCCCTACCCCCATATATATGAGGAAAAGTCATAAAATATGAATGTTATATTAATTTTGTTTTCGTTACAATTTCAGACCAATTCGCAAAATCTTCAAGAAACTCTAATTCAACATCTCAGTAGAATCGAGACGAGATTGATATTGAATGTAGAGTTGACCTTGCAGGCTGAGTTGTTATAGAAACCATTGCGTGATATCCCGGCTCCAAATAATGGTTACTTGACTTTTTTTATCAGTAGACTATTAGGTATTCGTGTCGTACATTGGATCTAATAAAAATGCATATTAGAAATTAGCGTGATTCCTATTTTTATTTGTTATGCCCAAAACTAATGGCGAGGTAGAATAAAAATAGTAGCTGTTAAACGTTTTTGTGCTTCCCTCATAGAGACGGTATAACACAATGCCCATGGTGGTAATAACAACTTGTTCTGTAATTCCATAACATGTGAAAACACATAACTTCCCATGAAAGGCCACTCTAAAATACATTTATATTCTCCTGGGAGCTCAATAGATAGTCTCTGAGTTAGTGTCATGTCATATTGAATTGTCGCTCAGGGAGGCGGTGGTTCATCAATGTGGTGGTTCATGGAGGTGGTGGTTCATGGAAGTTGTGGTTCATGGAGGTGGTGTTTCATGGATGTGGTGGTTCATGGAGGTGGTGGTTCATGGATATGGTGGCTCATGGAAGTGGTGGTTCATCAATGTGGTGGTTCATGGAGGTTTTGGTTCATGGATGTGGTGGTCCATGGAGGTGGTGGTTCATGGAGGTGGTGGTTCATCAATGTGGTGGTTCATGGAGGTGGTGGTTCATGGAGGTTGTGGTTCATGGAGGGGGTGTTTCATGGATGTGGTGGTTCATGGAGGTTGTGGTTCATGGATGTGGTGGTTCATGGAAGTGGTGGTTCATGGAAGTGGTGGTTCATGAAAGTGGTGTTTCATGGAGGTGGTGTTTCATGGATGTGGTGTTTCATGGATGTGGTGGTTCATGGATGTGGTGGTTAATGGGTGTGGTGGTTCATGAAGGTGGTGGTTCATGGGTGTGGTTGTTCATGGAGGTGGTGTTTCATCAATGTGGTGGTTCATGGAGGTGGTGGTTCATCAATGTGGTGGTTCATGGAGGTGGTGGTTCATGGAGGTGGTGGTTCATGGAGGTGGTGGATCATGGAGGTTGTGGTTCATGGAGGTGGTAGTTCATGGATGTGGTGGTTCATGGAAGTCGTGGTTCATGGAAGTGGTGTTTCATGGATGTGGTGGTTCATGGAGGTGGTGTTTCATGGATGTGGTGGTTCATGGAGGTGGTGGTTCATGGGTGTGGTGGTTCATGGAGGTGGAGGTTCATGGATGTGGTGGTTCATGGATGTGGTGGTTCATGGATGTGGTGGTTCATGGAGGTGGTAGTTCATGGATGTGGTGTTTCATGGAGGTGGTGGTTCATGGAGGTGGTGGTTCATGGGTGTGGTGGTTCATGGAGGTGGAGGTTCATGGATGTGGTGGTTCATGGAGGTGGAGGTTCATGGATGTGGTGGTTCATGGAAGTCGTGGTTCATGGAAGTGGTGTTTCATGGATGTGGTGGTTCATGGAGGTGGTGTTTCATGGATGTGGTGGTTCATGGAGGTGGTGGTTCATGGGTGTGGTGGTTCATGGAAGTCGTGGTTCATGGAAGTGGTGTTTCATGGATGTGGTGGTTCATGGAGGTGGTGTTTCATGGATGTGGTGGTTCATGGAGGTGGTGGTTCATGGGTGTGGTGGTTCATGGAGGTGGAGGTTCATGGATGTGGTGGTTCATGGAAGTCGTGGTTCATGGAAGTGGTGTTTCATGGATGTGGTGGTTCATGGAGGTGGTGTTTCATGGATGTGGTGGTTCATGGAGGTGGTGGTTCATGGGTGTGGTGGTTCATGGAGGTGGAGGTTCATGGATGTGGTGGTTCATGGATGTGGTGGTTCATGGATGTGGTGGTTCATGGAGGTGGTGTTTCATGGATGTGGTGGTTCATGGAGGTGGAGGTTCAGAGAGGTGTGGTTCAGGGAAGTGATGGTTTAGGGAGGTGGTGGTTCAGGGAGGTGGTGGTTCATGGAGGTGGTGGTTCATGAAGGCGGTGGATAATGGAGGTGGTGATTCATGGAGGTGGTTATTCAGGGAGGTGGTGGTTTCTAGATGTGGTGGTTCAGGGAGGTGATGGTTCAGGGAGGTGGTAGCTCATGGAGGTGGTGGTTCAGAGAGGTGTGGTTCAGGGAAGTGATGGTTTAGGGAGGTGGTGGTTCAGGGAGGTGGTGGTTCATGGAGGAGGTGGTTCAGGGAGATGATGGTTCAGGGAAGTGATGGTTCGGGGAGGTGGTGGTTCAGGGAGGTGGTGGTTCGTGGAGGTGGTGGTCCAAAAAGGATGTGGTTTTGAATATTTTCACCGAAGTGATAGTCCTCAATTTGCGAAATATAAATTGAATAATATCAAGTTTTGAAGTGCTTTGTGTTTAAAAAAAAATGAGTTAAAGTAATTTATAACAAATATGCTCCTTCAATATGAGTCTTTTCAGAAAAACAGTCGTGAGCTCTAGGGATTTACTTTTATATATCGGAAAAAAACATGTTATCTTGTTTTGAAGTATTTTCTCGATTAATTCGTGAAGCTTCAGAATGGCGGCCATATATGAATTATTTATATTTTCTATAATTGAGTTTGTTGTGTGAATAAATGAAGGATGTAACACGATAAAAACGAGGTCTGCCTTCTGTTTTAATAATGTATTTATATTGTTTATGTTGGTCAATTAGTCTAATGAAGCTTCCCGGGAATGTTTTGTAATAAATGAGGCGTGGGTTTGCGTCTGCTTATTTTTAGCTAGCTATATTCGATGGCAGAAGAATACACATAAATGTAAATACGCAATCGCATTCTGCAAGAGTTCCTGCCCCTACATATTATTTTACTCATTTTAAATTTCTAATTTTATTATAGTCAAATTTAGCACGCACCTTTTGAATTATAATCTCTTCACTAATTTGTCATAACACGAATTTTAATAATAAAGTAGAACCTCCATGAGAGGACACTCACGCTAGAGGACACCTCTCTATAAAGGACAGTTTTCATTTGCAAAATTACCATTTTCACCTTTTTTGCAACTATACGGTAAGAGGGCACCTCTCCCTAAAGTACAATTTGGTTTTTCAATTAGCTGTCCTATACTGGGAGGTTATACTGTATTTGATTTCGACTTTAAAAATGAAATGTCTGAATATTTTATGAATATTTCTCGAGATACTATGCAAAACCAATCATTGATATACCCTTAGTCTAGAAGAAATTCTGACAATAAATTTACCAATACATTAAGACTATAGTCAACCACGCTTGTGTTTCATATTAATAATATTCAAATTGAGTTGTCAGACCTTCATGTTTAGAAAATGAGGAGATTCTACATTCAAAACATGGTTTCTAGATATGGTTCTAGTCAGTTCGGTTTGAAATAACATGGGATTCGTGAAATCTGCCTTATTTCATAAAGGTACTAGTATGTTCCCATATTTGTATGTGTGTCTGTGCAGAGTCGATTACTATTAATGGCCTTAATAAGGAATAATTATTATTATTATGCACAACAATAATATTCAAGAAAAATATATCTCCTTATCGTGCTACTGATACCTTTTGATGGCTTGAGTAATCTTTCAGTATAAATATCAAAGAATTGTTGATTTCTTTTTTATTATTTCAGAGAATATTGGTCAATTACCTAAAGAAAAGGTATTTCAAAATAAGATTTATTTTCACATAAAAGAACTGGACAGAATTTCACACATAGAAGCGATAGAGTAATACCTTTAATCAACAAACAAGCGCACTAGATGGGGCAGCAGGCATTATCGAAGTTTATTTCTAGCTCTTCACAATGAT